TCCACCCCCCTCCTGCTCCCCTCCAGGCTCCCTTTGAAGTCAGAGTAAATATTTACAGCGTTTTCACTGCCCTGGGTACTGTCTCCCCTCAAGGTTGCTCAGCTCTCTTCCACCTTCTCACCTTGGACTTCCCGGGAGAGGGGGGAGAAAAGAGAGACAATACAAGAGGGGGGAGAAGAGAAACTACGAGAATACTGCCTGCTTCTCGCATCCGTCACCGGGAGGCGAGGAAGGGGCGCCCGGGGGACCGGCAGAGGCTTGAGCAGAGACCATTCCTGGGACTGCAGCCAGGGTGGCCGCATCCTCCGTCCAGACCCCTCCTCCAACCCCGGCATCTCCACGCTTGTGGAAAATGCAGCTTCCCGGGCCTGGCGCATCAAATTTAGAAACTTGCCGGAGGTTCGGGGGAGGAGGAGACGGATGGTATGGAAGCTGGGCCGGAAGACCTGAGCTGGCCTTGCCAGTTCACCGCCCGCCTTGCCCGGATCAGTCACTTCCCCGCATGCCCCCCATTTCTTGTCTTTATTTTCTTAAACCATCACCCGAGGATATGTTTTTATTGATTTTTAGAGAGGAAGGGAGAGAGAAAGAGAGACACAGCTATCCGAGAGAAACATCCATCGGTTGTCTCCTATACGTGCCCCGACCAGGGATTGAACTCACAACCTGGGTATGTGACCTGACCGGGGATCAAACCTGCAACCTTTTGGTGCACAAGACAACGCTCCAACCAACCCAGCCACCTGGCCAGGGCCACTTCTCGTCTTTAAAAGAGCCGAGGTGACCTCAGACTCTCATGTCGTCCTGATGGCCGATGGGAGTGAAGCTGGCCGGTCCACACGATGGAGCCACTGCAGCCTTTCCCTGCGTGGGTCTGACCCAGGCCTGGCTTCCTTCTTCCTGGGCCTCACGAGCCCGCTTGAGCCCCTGCTCAGTGAGCAGCTCTGGGCCGCACGCAGAAGGCAAAGATGTGTGTGAGCCCCAGACGCCGGCCCACAGGGGCTCAAAGCCAAGCCACAGAGCCTCCCCAAATTTCAGGCTCTGGGTCTGGTTCTGTAAACAGGTTGCAAACCTCTTTATCCTGCGTGGGAAATGATTAAACGATACAGTACATTTGATATGACAATCTGTTGCTTTAATGGAGCCCAGGGTAAGATAAGATTAAAAGAAGTGCCACAGAGGAGAACAGGAGAATCTTTCATCTCTAGAACGTAATGAAGACAGACCCCAGACGCGAGAAAGGTCGAGCTCTAAGTGGCATGATCGAGTTACGCAAGGCAGTAATGAGCTTGAGGCAGTTGCATTTCCATATGCTACTCAACACCCAGTCCGGGCCCAAAAGGAGAACATCCCCCGTAAGGACCTTGCTTGGAGGCAGACACTGGCTGACCCAGGGCTGGAGCAGGACCCCAGGACTGAGGACTGTCCTGGCCTTGAATGAATGTTCTGGCTCAGAGAGCGGACACTAACAGGGCTACTTACCATCCTTTCTCCCCCAGGCCCCCTTTCCTCCTCTCCGTCTAGGAGAGCGTCTTCCTCAGAAACCACAGCAGATCTTCCAAGTTCAAGTCCTGGCCTCTTCCGTATTTGGAAGCCAGGGAAGGGAGTTGAATTGTCCCTGCAGGGACATGCTGGCCATTGGGCGGCTCCCAGAAAACAAGAGGTAGAAATTGTCCTTTGTGCTTCTGTCGATGGCCCGACTCGGAGTCCTTGGCTTCCTTTTAGCAGATGAGCTGGCCCAGCTGGACACTAGGAGGGGACACTTTCCCGTGCTGGGGAGAGGGCGAAAAGCAATGGGAATGGACGCGCTGACATTCCCAGAGGCAGGAGGAGGGAGCGGAGCCCCCTGCCCCAGCCGAGCCCTCTGAGTGCCTGGGGCTCCTCTGCATCCAGCGGCCAGGGCCTGGGGCTGCAAGAGCACACGCCTCGGGCTGCATTTTCCTAAACCAGCAGGAACCCCTCTGCTGGTGCTTCCTCCCTCTCCCAGAGGCTCTTTCCTCTGTGGCCTCACTCTGTGGTTCTGCTGCTGACATAATGACACCGATTGTGACCATGAGGGAGGAGAGCAGCCAGCGGGAGCGGTGCGTCCAGCCCCTCCCTCTGCCTCTGCAAATGAGAGATGGGCTCCGTGGAGAGGCCACCCACCCTCGAGAGGCCACCCACCCTCCCGCGGGAGGCGTGCTGCCCGCCGCCCGGTGGGAGCCGGGACTTTTCACTTGTCCTGGTTCGAGCTGACGTGCTGTATGGAAACGCGTCCCACCCTCCCCTCCATCACACGCACAGACACACACGCTCCCACACTCGCCCCCACCCCCATACACGGCAAAAATAGGCTTAAAAAGCATATACTCACACACCCATGCACGCACCCACTCCCAAAGACAGATGTGCAACTGCACATTCATTCATTTATTTAAAAACTGCTAGGCGCCGGGGATACATCAGTGAAAAAATCAAAAACTCCTGCCCTCACGGAGTTTATGTTCTGGGGGGGAGAGAGACAGTAACGGGACAAGTATATAAAAGGGATACCACCTTCGTAACAAGTGCTAAGGGGAACACAGAAAGCGGAGAGTGAAGAGGCGTTGGGCCCATATGCACACTTTTTGCTTTTTTCATAAATGACCAATATTGGGGCACCTGCTGTACGCAGGGACGTGCATTAGACCCTTGGGGGGGATCGCGGGAGTAACATATGCTCCTTGAAGAGCTCGAAGCCCATTAGAGGTGAGAAACACCCAACACAATACTGAGTCAAGAAAGGTCAGGGAACTTCTGGAAGGAGAGGGGACTTTGATGAACAGTGTTTCTCCTACCAGGGTGACACCTGGGCTGGAGAAGCGAGTGGAAACCCCTGGGAACTCTGATCATGACACTGTCTCTCAGACCCAGTCCCCGGGCCTATGAACAGAGATCCATGAGGCTGGGGAGGCAGCCTCCTCCCTTGCATCTGAAATCACCGGGGAACCCAGTGTCCCTGGGACACCCCTTGCTCTGCTTTGCCAGGGTCACAGTCCTTAGACCTCACTCTTTGATTATCTCTGCCAATCACAGAAAGCCCGCCTTGCCAGGATCCGTGTGGCCAAAACAGGCAGCTCCAATGCCTACCTGCACAGCAAGCGCAATGGGCTCCTCAACGAGGCCCTGGAGCTGATGGTAGGTGCCTAGAGGACCTGGGCTGGGGGGTGGAGGGGATGGGAGGGGCCTAGAGGACCTGGGCTGGAGGGTGGAGGGGATGGGAGGGGCCTAGAGGGCCTGGGCTGGAGGGTGGAGGGGATGGGAGGGGCCTAGAGGACCTGGGCTGGAGGGTGGAGGGGATGGGAGGGGCCTAGAGGGCCTGGGCTGGAGGGTGGAGGGGATGGGAGGGGCCTAGAGGACCTGGGCTGGAGGGTGGAGGGGATGGGAGGGGCCTAGAGGGCCTGGGCTGGAGGGTGGAGGGGATGGGAGGGGCCTAGAGGACCTGGGCTGGAGGGTGGAGGGGATGGGAGGGGCCTAGAGGGCCTGGGCTGGAGGGTGGAGGGGATGGGAGGGGCCTAGAGGACCTGGGCTGGAGGGTGGAGGGGATGGGAGGGGCCTAGAGGGCCTGGGCTGGAGGGTGGAGGGGATGGGAGGGGCCTAGAGGACCTGGGCTGGAGGGTGGAGGGGATGGGAGGGGCCTAGAGGGCCTGGGCTGGAGGGTGGAGGGGATGGGAGGGGCCTAGAGGACCTGGGCTGGAGGGTGGAGGGGATGGGAGGGGCCTAGAGGGCCTGGGCTGGAGGGTGGAGGGGATGGGAGGGGCCTAGAGGACCTGGGCTGGAGGGTGGAGGGGATGGGAGGGGCCTAGAGGGCCTGGGCTGGAGGGTGGAGGGGATGGGAGGGGCCTAGAGGACCTGGGCTGGAGGGTGGAGGGGATGGGAGGGGCCTAGAGGGCCTGGGCTGGAGGGTGGAGGGGATGGGAGGGGCCTAGAGGACCTGGGCTGGAGGGTGGAGGGGATGGGAGGGGCCTAGAGGGCCTGGGCTGGAGGGTGGAGGGGATGGGAGGGGCCTAGAGGACCTGGGCTGGAGGGTGGAGGGGATGGGAGGGGCCTAGAGGGCCTGGGCTGGAGGGTGGAGGGGATGGGAGGGGCCTAGAGGACCTGGGCTGGAGGGTGGAGGGGATGGGAGGGGCCTAGAGGACCTGGGCTGGAGGGTGGAGGGGATGGGAGGGGCCTAGAGGACCTGGGCTGGAGGGTGGAGGGGATGGGAGGGGCCTAGAGGACCTGGGCTGGAGGGTGGAGGGGATGGGAGGGGCCTAGAGGACCTGGGCTGGGGAGGTGGAGGGGCTGATGGACTTGTTTTCTTGTCGGGGCACCAGCAGTCCCTCCTCAAAGCCCCAGTTTGAACCCTGAGGACATGTTCCCAAACTTTCCCCAGGTAGCATCTCCTCCGCATTCCTCTCTCATGGGATTGTCACTGCTACCCCTAAACCAGCTTTAGACTAAGGACCCCAGCCCAAAGGCTGGCGTGTTCTACGGTGACCCTAAAATTTGCTTCACCCAGATTTTTCTGGTGCCCTCCTACCGCTGTGGGGAAATGAGGGGTAGAGGGAGGGAGACTCACAAGCTCTACACTCGTCTCTCTTGCTGTCTCGCCAGGGCACCCCTGAAGAGGAGCACATGGGCAAGACCACCTCGCTCATCGAGAGCCAGCACCATCACCTGCTGCACTGCCTGGAAAAAACCACTGTGAGTCCCGCCCACTGCCGCCTCCCTCACCCCGGCCCCTGGCCCTGTTACGAGGGTCCGAGCTCAGAGAGCTCTACCTACATCTTCATCCTGGGCCCAGCTTTGGAGGTCAAAATCTGTCCCCTTCAGATCCAAACGGTAGTGATGAGGCTCCCTCAAGCCTCGGGAGGAAGACCCCAGCAGTGGGGCAAAGTCACCAAGGTAGGGGCCAGCTGTGCCCTGCAGCAGTGCTGAGGAGGCCATCACCCCAGCCTCTCCACCCGACACCAGTCCCATGGCCCACTTCCCAGTTCTGATGGGCCTCCCTCTTCAAAACTAGGCCTGAATTCCTACGAGACTGCTGTGTGACAGCAGAGACAAGTGTCAGTCCCTGTCCTGTCCCTGGGGCTAGGTTGATGCCATGTGTGGGTCCCTTTGCTCCCTACGTTCTCTTCACAGGGGGCAGTGAATAAAGGAGGCAGCACCTATATTTCCCTAAGCAGGGATTTTTATTGTGACCACTTCCTCTTGGTCACCTGCCACCCAGGGAGCTCAGGGCGTCACCGTTGGAATGTGGAATGATGCCTGTACCTCACTAACAGACGGAGGAAGGGCAGTGGGCCCGTCCTGGACCCTTGGCAGAAAGTGTTAGGAACAGTAGGGAGGGAGGAAAAGTCTGGGTAGGCAGTCAAAGAGACTTTTCTAGAAACTCCCTCCCCAGAGAGCCTGCAGCCAGAGCTCAGCACACTGAGGAACTTTCAGCTTCTCCACGTTCCACATCCCGGCCTCCCTGATGTGGTTTGACTCTTGCTATGAGCCAAACGTGGACACTACGGGTGGCAGCTGAGCCCAGCGAGGACTTGCGCGAAATGGGGAGGTGCTCTGAAAACGCATGTTTCCAGACTTACCAAATATTTCTTAGGGTCAGGAACTGCATACGCGTAATCTGGAATTTCAAAGACTCAGAGCTTGCCAAAGGGATAGGCCCGGCCCCAACTGCCCTTTCCAAGTTGCATGTGCTGGGTAGAATGGGTGAAACGATTTGGGTCTGAAGGGCTGGAATGTTGGCACTGAAGAAATGAGATTTGGACATCTAGGGGTGGAATGTTGGCATCCAAGGGGCGAATGCTGAACTTGAGGGAGAGAATGTCGGATTGTGGGGGTGGGATATTGCAACCGAGGAGGTGGAATGCTGGGTCTTAGGGGAGGAATGTCGGGATGGAAGAGGCAGAAATGTTGGGGTGGGAGGAATGAACGTGGGGTCTGGGCAGGGTCATGTTGGAGCCAAGGGTGGAATGTTGGGGAGAGGAGGGGGAATGCTGGGGGCAGGGCTGGAATGTGGGACTCCAGGGTGGAATGCTGGGCCTGAGAGGCTGAACATCAGCTCTGAGCTTGGGAATGCCGGAATGTACAATCAATGGTGTTTCTATCTTCTGTTGGCATGTTGTCCTGTAGGGGTTGTCCTATCTTGTGGATGATCCCCTGTTGTCTGTACGAACGTCCACCATCAAGGTATAACTTTTTAAAAATTAATTGATGTTTCCCTCTCTGACTGCTCTGAGTCTGTGGATCCTTCACGCGCCCCTGGTCTGGTTCTCTGCATGTGCTGTTGACGCCTCTGCGGCTTCTCCTCCCACTGCCATCACTCCCAGCACCAGCTCAGGCTTTGTTTTTCGTGAACCGTCCAGCTGCCTTTCCGATTCCCTCTTTAACTTCCCCAGGGGCTTGGAGGGGGTGGAGGAACATGGCACCTGTGTTGGTATCCTGGGAGTGTCCAGGGCCACATCTGGGCCACATCTGGGCCACCTCCCCAGCTCCACAGGGACGGCTGGTATCTGGGTCAGGGCTGGTCTCTGAGCTCTGGTCTCGTGCTACCTCTCAGACCGTCTCTGCACCCTGGCAGCCTTGGCCAGATCGTTGGTGCCATAGATGTTTAGTCACCTGGGGCAAACAGTCATTTGTATTTCTCTTGGGTTCAGCTCCAACCCACCCTGCTGGCCTCTAGTCAGGAGGCTGTTAGCATTCCCTTCCCATGCTTACCTTTGACTTAGGGAACCCTATGCCTCCAGGTATCCATAGCCCCAGGTACCCATATCCCATAATCAGGTGAAAAAAAACCCAAAACAATAATTAAAAGAAATCATGACCCTGACAGCTTGACCCCCTGGCCTTCAAGAGGAAAGCTCTCCCGGTTCTGTGGGTAACCCAGCACCTTTCTGAGCTTCTGTCTCACGCTTACCCAAGATTCCTAAGGCTCCCTCCATTCAATCCAGAAAAGACAACCCAGCACACACCACGCACAGTAGCACCTCCTTCCCTGCTCCCCGGGGTCCTGTGTGGAGCCTGTGGAATAAGTCCGGTCTCTGCTACTAAGCCCCTCCATGTTTTCTGTACCCCTTCAGCTCATGCTGGAGATGGCGTGTGAACCACATCATGACTTAACTGCAGCCCCCCCTTCAACTTGACGGCCAGGGCTGCCCTCAAACCCTCTCCCCTTCTTCACTTGATGCCCATCTGTGCCCCAGGCAGCTGGGAGGCAGCCATCGAGTCCGGGGGCTTGTGCCCCTCCTTCCTACCTCCTTCCTACGTCTCCTCCTCCTGCTTCCCACAGAACCACGAATTCATAGATGAGCAGATGTTCGAGCAGAACTGCATGGAGAGTTCAATGCAGAACTACCCGTCCACAAGAAGTCCCTCGCTGTCCAGCCACCCGGGCCTCACGACCACCTGCTGCTCCCGTCGTAGTAAGAAGACCACACACCTGCCCAACTCCAACCTGCCGGCCACCCGCCTGCGCAGCATGCAAGAGCTCAGCACGATCCACATCCAGGGCAGTGAGCAGCCCTCCCTCACCACCAGGTGGGCGCCTTCCCTCCCGTCACTCCCAGAGGCCCACCCACAGAACTAAACCATCTCAGCCTCAGGAGAACCCCTAGCCTTCCACCCCCTAATCTAATGCATCAGGTCACCCCTAGCTCCCCCACCTTCCTTCTCGCCCTTCATACACTTTGGGGGTACTGTAAGCAGGCTTTGGCCCAATGTGTGATTAGATACCAGAAAAAATAACTCCCCCCAAAAATCCACAAATGGCCTATGCCTGTGCAGAGAATGGACCAAGGAACTAATTTGCAGACTTGTGTAAGACACAGCTTGTCCCAGGCTGACTTTGAATCACAGACTGACTTTCCCTCCTCCCTCTGCAAATATTTAGGTCACTCCCCACTCCTCCAGTGAGTTGCAAGGAATTCAGGGAAAATAAAAGTCAAATGATAGGTACACAACCCACCGAAGGGGGAAAGCTATTCTCTGAGCCCAAAGCCCAGTATCCACGACTTTGCAGTTGCTAGTAGTTTAGGAATGAAGCTTTGGATGGATGATTATGGGCTGATACCCAAACCAGAGCCGGAGGGATGCCGAAAGCTCCCCCTAGTTACCACGAGCTAGAAATGTCAGGGGTCAAGAAAACTTTGGGCCACTAGCAAGAGGCACTATCTTCAACTCACCCTTTTTTTTTGATCCCAGTCGCTCCAGCCTTAATCTGAAAGCAGACGACGGACTGAGACCAAACTGCAAAACATCCCAGATCACCACAGCCATCATCAGCATCCCCACGCCCCCAGCGCTAACTCCCGAGGGCGAGAGCCGGCCGCCCCCTGCCAGCCCAGGCCCCAACAGGAACATTCCTGCCATAGCCAGCAACGTTGTCAAGGTCTCCGCCTTGTAAAGCCACCGGACACAGGGCCAGTGCGGGGGGGTGGGAGTGAGGCCGGCCGGCATGTTGGTGGGTGGCCACTAGGACCACCCTGTCCCCCTCTCCCCTGCTCGCATCCTGCCTGCCCCA